CTTCAGTATTGAGTGAGCGTAGGCAGTTGTTGATGAATGTCTGTAGTTTGTTAGAAATGCCATGCAGAAGCACTGACTTGGCGTTGGTGTTGAAAATCCAGATGTCGTTCACGCTTTATGCTGAGTGCAGTAGATCTCCACACTGATTTCAAATTGATGAACTCCTGTCTTGCTGTGTTTCCTATCCTGGCTTTGATGTCCTCGTGTGTGCCGCCTGTAGTTGAAACAGGTGAGAGAGATTACTTCCTTTATGTTTCTCCCGTTGATGGTGATTGGTGCTTCTTGTTGACGCTGTTGTTGGTTGGATATCTTTATCACCTCTGTCTTCTCTACATTCACTTGAAGTCCCATCTTCCTTCACTGCCTTGCCTCTCCTGTCAACTTGTTAGTTTTCGCCTGAAGATCTTCAAGTTTGTTCGACATTAAACATAAATCATCGGAGAAATCCAAATCTTCTAGGATCTTTTCATCAGTCCATTGGATGTCTATCTTCTTGCTCCTCACTGTTTGCTGCCTGATCCAGTCCATTACAATCGGGAATATCATGGGTGATAGTAGGTAGCCTTGTTTTACTTCTTCCTGTCTTCACTTCAAGAGCATCACTGAGCTTCCCATTGTGAAATGCTTGGCATGTGGCTTCCTCATATAATGTTGTTGAATGCGGTTGATAAAAGTTTGTGGTATTCCGTAGTTTTGAAGCAACTGCCAAATTACTTTTCGGTAATTCATTTATGACAAGTGTTTTTTTAGGAGGTAATGATCTCATCAATGCATTAACATGCAATTTATGTCCATGTTACGTTTCACGAAAATTTCGAGATCCATACAAAATTTGGTCATGGTATGACAAACGAGCATACTAACATGAGTTGATCAATCTATATCATGAAATTAATGATCGAAAATTTCAATCTACCCCCTCATAAACTGTGTGATTCATTCTTGTTTTCATGATACTCACTAATAAAAGTTGACTACTGAGACTATTGTGAAGCAGAACATTCTTTCTAACTTATTTTATTTCACATAATTTAGAAGTAATCAGTGTGTTTATTTACTTAGCTGTTTACAGTTAGTGTCGTTATTTTGTAAACAAAAGTTATCACTTATTAGGTTTTGAGGATGTTTATTTCATCTAAGGAATGAAAAAGTTAGGTAAGTGCAGATAGTATTCCTCGTGAACTGATATTAGTTAGAAGACTGCTGAAAACCTGGAGGAGTGGACAGATGTTACATCCTGGTATAGGACTCCTCAGAAGTGCCTACTCAGTACCCCGCCAGGGAACTGATGAAAGATTGAAACCATTTAATTCCAACGCAGCTGGTCACTGGCAACATTCTCACCACGAAACTAGAAGGCCATAGATGTGCAATGCTAACTAATATATTGGGACGAAACAGTTTAAGAGTGGGTCTCCAACTGATATCTCTTCATAGTGGATACCTACAAGAAATCGATAAAATCGTAAGAAACCTCCAAATTGGGAAAAAAACAGATAGTTTCTTCAACTATTTGAAATCAAGGAGAACGTTCTATTATTATTTTTCACTTGGGTTCCTAATGGAACATAGGGATTCAGTAACACCTCGCCATCTCACTCTCTTCTCTGCAGTCTTTTAAACCTGGCTCCACCACTGCTCGCAACCTTTCATTACTTCCTCACACGATCTCATCCATGTCACCCTTGACTCCGATGCCCAACTCGTTGTTTCACCCTTTGGATTCCAGCCAACGGCTTGGCCTAGTCTGGTGCATGATGTCCCCAAACCGTCTTCTCGGTGCAAACCCAATCCAATCCATCTTACTTTCTTCCTGTACGTATTTGTTGGGGCTATTGGTTTTTGGTTGGTTCGTTGCCAGCCAGCCAGCCAGAGTTCCTCCTTGCTTGCTCATATTATTCTGGTCATCTGATCTCCATCTTTAGTATCGAGTGGGCGCAGGAAGCAACTGTTCATTTATGTCTGTAGTTTGTTGGAAATTCTTTTGATAACGCACCAAGTCTCTCAACCATCACATAGAAGCAGTGACTTACTTGACTGAGATTAGTGTTGAAAAACCGGATGATGTTCATGCTTTGTACTGAGTGCAGTGCAGTGCAGTAGATCTCAACACTGATTATTTCAGAGTAATGCAGAAAGGCCTATCTTGCTTTTTCGATCCTGACTTCGACGTCCACATCTGTGTCTCTGCCTGTAGTTGAAACTATGCTGCCTAGGTGGGTAAGTGAAAGAGACTAGTTTACCAGATCAATAGTTTACTGGCCAGTTCTAAGCCCTGGATAAAGAGGGAAGGTTGTGCAAAGGACCAACAACCCTACCCCGTAAAACCAATCCAATCGCTAAAGAAAAGTCAAAGCACACGGAGTATAGGAAATCATTAGTTTACCTTTCATTTGTTAAGTTTGCATGTGAGAATTAAAAAATTCTGAAGTTATCTGTAAACAAACAGTAGATTGTTACCTCTAGTGACAAATGTAAATATTACTAGTAAGGGGTTGAAGAAAACTTCAGTGGTCATGATTTTTCAACATTTTCATATTATTAGTGGAGAAACGTAATCAACATTAAACTTCAACAAATTTATTCAGTGTAAGAGTAGAACGTGACCACTCTAGTGGAATGTAACTCCACTTCACTGCGTGACATATTATATGTCACGCAGTGGAAACAGTATTATTTACTGGGTTATGTTTCAGACAAAAACTTTTGCCCATAATCATATAAAGATTACATAACTTTGGCACAAGACTTATGTAGTCCAAATGTCCTCTCCTCCTTTGTGATATTGGGTAGTAGAATTGTCCAAATGTTTGGGACAAGTGCAGAATCATTTCTATCATATGCATTTGGTATTTATTCGATAAATAAAGATTCAGTTATCAATCTCTCCCTCCTTCCACTCAACTAAGTTAGTTTTAAGGAATATCAATCTGTCCTACTAATTTGTGTGGTTATGAGCAGTCACATACATATCTGTAGCCGAATTCACCTCTGGATTTCGTATCTCATTTGGGTCGACCAATCTTAAATTAGGCAGGTTGTTGAGTTCAAACTCTGGTCGACTATTTTAACCCTTGTATTTGGGCTGGTAGCAGTTGTTACTGGTATCTCGAAACCCAGTTATGTTGCATAATTGCATCAATTGTTATTATTTGTCCCTTGGGTTCCTAATGGAACATACAGCTTCAGTAGCACATCTCCATTGCACTCTCTTCTCTCCAGTCTTTTAAACCTGGCTCCACCACTGCCCATAAGCTCTCATTTCTTCCTCACACGATCTCATCCATGTCACCCTTGACTCCGATGCCCAACTCGTCGTTTCCCCTTTGGACTCCACTCGAGCGCCTGACACGTTATATCCTCAGTCGACCTTCTCAATGTGTGCCCACTCCAATCCATCTCCACTTCCTTCCAGTGCATATTTGTTGAGTGGTAGGTTCTTGGTTGATTCGTCACCAGCTAGAGTTCCTTGTTGTTTATTCTTATTATTCTGGCCATCTGATCTCCATCTTCAGTATTGAGTGAGCGTAGGCAGTTGTTGATGAATGTTTGTAGTTGTATCAATAAGATGTTTTAATCTACAAAGCTTGTTTCTTAGTGAGTTCGCGGGTTTTGAATACTGTGAGAATCAAGATCTTCATGAAGTATGCAGCTAATGAATTTCATCTTTGAATGAAATGAATATAATTCCTACGTGAAAAGTTTAGATTGGCCTGAAACATCTGCTCATTATCATTGATTTCTTTCACTTATCAAGCCTTTATATATCCTGATTCAGTTAAGCTTTTTGGTAGTCAACATTCTGAAACGACAGAACGACTTGGTGAACTTACAAAAATTTATTCATGAGCTTCCTCGCCCTTTTGACTTATGTGCTGATACCCTCTGTTGGATAATAAGTATTAGTTGCAGTAAGTTTTTCTTCAAATAATACATAACGTATGATGACAAAAATGACTCGTTTGTGTCTACCACAAATATAGTGAAAAACACGCTGATTATATCCTCATCCAGGAGAAAACTAACAAGTTGACAGATGAGGCAGCGAAAACGGGACTTCAACTAAATGTATAGAAGACAGAGGTGATGAAGATATCCAATCAACCTTTTACTACGATACACTTTAATACTGTTTGTTTTTTGACTGAGCCTTCAAGTCTATAATAGCTGGAAAGGTAGGGTAAGCATGTTTTATACTATTTAGAACTTGTCAACTAGGTGTACCTGCTCATCGATGGTTGATATTATTCCCCTTAATGGCCCAAAGTGTTATCCATTAGACCAGTGAGACACGTTAACCAACCCTTGTTCAGTGGATATTTTATAGTTTTCATGTTGTGGCATCTGCACTTCAGCCCATATGCCAATAATAGTCGAGAAATGTTTTCCAATCAGTAACACAGACTTACAAGCTACAACATAAAAATTAAACTATACCCATCGTACAAGGAGTGGCTATCATGACGCATTAGCTTAACACCCTTCTAAATCCAACTGACGAGTCCAGAATACAACGGAACGCATGTCCTAGATTCCACTGGTAGCCGCTATCCATCACTACTACTTTTAAGGTAAGCTTATATTTGTATGTTCAAATTGCCGTTGAAAGTCATTGATTGTTTATTTATTTATTTATTTATTATTTACCCCTTGGGTTCCTAATAAAACACAGGACTTCAGTATCGCGTCTCCATTCCACACCGTTCTCTGCAATCTCTTGAACTTCGCTTCATGACTGCCTGCAAGCTCTCATTTCTTTCTCACACAATCTCCTCCATGTCACCCTCGCCTCGGATGCCCAACTAGTCGTTTCCCATCTGGGTTCCACTCGAGTGCCTGGCCTGGCACGTGATATCCCCGAATGGTCTTCTCAGTGTATGCCCAATCCATCTTCACTTTCTTCCACTGCATTTTTGTTGAGCGATAGGTTCTTGGTTGGTTTGAAAGTCATTGAGCATACCCTCAAAACATAATGCTGCAAATATTTCTTCATTTTACAGAATTTATATCTAGCTCCTGGACAATACAATCCATATAGTGAAGATTGGAGTAAGAACACCCAATTCCCTTCATATCATAGTGTATTCAAGTCAAAGTGCCCTAGGTCTGTTGTCAGTCTAAAACATGTGAGTTGAACTATCTTAATCAATACTTACCATTTGGTACTTTCCAGATTTTTCAGAGATACATTTATTATCATTCGGATACATTATTTTAACTTATGGTTAGACTGATTAACAACCCATAATTGAAATAAGGCTCTCATATAAGAACTATTGACATGCATAGTAAATGGTATATACTTCATAAAACTAAGAATGACATTTGTTAATGTCTTAGAAAAGACGACTTACATCATGAACGCTGATATCCCAACAAGAACTGTTAGGTACTTTTATTCTGTTTGACTTCAAAAACAGTCATCTAGTAATTGTTAGTAGATTATCGGTGATTATGACTAGCAATCATTTTACTCTAGTGAGTGAAGTCTTCTGGATAATTCAAGGAAGTGTTGATACTTTAATCAATGTATCTTCAGCATAAAGAAACTTCTAGATAAGGATTTTAAGAGATTTAACTTGTTCAATTCTTACTAATATCATTTTTTGTTATCTTTGTTGGTTTTCTTGCTATTATGAAGTGTATAAACCTGAACATAGAGAGTTCGGTATTGTTTACTGTCAAACAAGATTAGAGATATAGTTTTCAAGTTTTCTTTACATTCATTTGTATAACGCTACTATCATTATCAAACTATTATTACTTTCAATTAAGTAAGCTTTAAGTGAAGGGTTGATTGATTTCAAAGTAATTTTCACTATGGATTGTTGTCAAACGTAGAATCCTCAAAAATCTGGGAGTACAAAATGACAATCACTTGGGATGTACTAATCTGTAGAATTAAAAAAATTTTTCCAGCATTTTTACTTATATCAATTTCATACAGTCATTCTTTTCAGGATTAGATTTCTTACAAACAGATATGATAAATAAGATGCACTTGATATTATATTGAAAAACAGAATTACAATGCTAAATATAAGTCAAAGAAGCTTCAGATACTTCTTAGATGTTAACTGAATGAAGGTGATTGGCAGGACCTAGACCTAGGTTTCATGCTTGTTGACACTTGTCAGCAAGTCGTATCTGCAACCCCATAGGAACTGATGTCACGCCTGAGATGCAAACCTGCGTCGCCCACTGTTGTAGTTAGTGACATTGCCACCATTACCACGACTGAACTGCTGTAGAATTGAATTAGATACATTAATAGTCATTGGGGGGTAACCAACTTCATGTTGTCTAGTCCTATGAGCTGACCGAATTCTATGGACCATTTTGCAATTTGACCATCAGACTAGACAGCCCTGCATCGCGATGCACTTTGATAGATGTTAGGTGGTTGGAGTCACTTCTTCACGATGAATGCGGTAGGACAACGCAAAACTACGGAACAAGACTTAAGCTGTTCCACATGGTTTTTAAACAGATTGATTTAAATGGCCCTAAGGTTGTAGTGAGAAGTTACCTACAAGTAGTCTAAATTCTCCATAGGTTTTTCAACAATGAGGAATGATGGGAATCATTGCGGACTTAACAGTTTACGTAGTTGTTTTACAGAGAAATTCAATATTTGATGGTAAGACTGAACCATCAGGTAATGAAAGATGCTCTATCGTAATCACTATCGATTACAAGAACCTACCTCTCGTGCATCAATTCCTGTTTGAGACAATGAACTCAGTAACTTGATTTGAAGATGTGTGGCAACTGATTGATTTTAATGTAGTATACATCATGGATGAGCACAGTCACTGGTAGGCGCTGCTGAAGAATGAAAACGTTGTCTAGTTTTTCCAGACCTAGAATAGTTCTTTAGCTGATGTTAATTCATAATGAATACTATTTTGAAACGAACTAAAGGGTATGAACGAATAAATATCTTGTTTTTTTATCGTGACTAGAGCATCCGCTTCAACTATAACCTTATTAGCAAAGATTAGACTTGGTATTCCGAAAATATACTGCATGGATTAGCACAAACAGTTATACATATATGTATATCTTAGATGACCACCGATAGTTTCCGACCCATTCGACATCTTTTTCACGAGGATAGCTGAACTTCATCTATGCTTTACAATGACATATTTATAGCAGTAGAGTCAATATTTATGTACTGATCTATATAGTTTGAATTCATTACTTCTAATAGATAAATTGTAGTTACCGAATACAATACGGGGTAAACTCATGACCTACTTACTTCATGAGAATAGTGTTTACTTTATATATTCTGTTGAATGTTCAGTTCGTATTTTTGCAAAAAAATACTATCCGAGTTTGGATAATGTAACAAAATCATGCTTTAACATGTTATCTATTCAGATTGGTTTTCGATTAGAATGCATAAGCATGTTTTTTATCTTTTACAAAGGATGATGTACCACCTCCCGGTGCTTATAATATATCGTCTCGAGAGAAAAGTGGAATAACTTCACCATTTGTTTCACAGGTACCTAGATTCAAACGTTCAAAATCGGTGAGTATTTGCTTAAGTATTGCCTCGTCTCTGCATTTTGTTGGATTTCTTATTAAGATATTAACCTTACCTTTAGTTCATAGATTGTTTCAGTATACAGATGAGGGATATTTAAGTATTTTAAGAAGAATGTGTGACAGCGTAGAAAACAACAACAAATATACTTATCGTACAGAGAGTGATCATAGTTACTCCACAGCCTAATGGATGATGTTTCGATGGTTGGACTGAACTGTGAACAATGCCATAAATAAACGTTGTTATCCCAGATTCTACTGTTACCTACTATAATTAAGTTATAAGCGGAATCAGGGTTATTGTCGAAATGAAATCGGTTTTTGGGTGAAATTTGAAATAAAAGCTTCCTTTTTAGCTGGAAACTGATAGCAACTGAACCGAATCTTCTTTGATGACCTATTGCGTATTCTTTGTATGAAATTTTGTAAGATTTATGTAACAATCACTTCATCAAAGCATAGTAATCCGTAGATTTTCTCTGCATTTATTATTATAAAGTTATTCGAGGTATCAACCTGTCGTCTTGTGTCTGGCAATTGGACTGGTTAGAATCTTGTTTCATTTCAGGCATATGTTCTTTTACATTTGCATAGCGAACCAAATGGGTATTATCCTCTTAGTTATTACAATGTAGTTGTTACGCTAGTGCATTTAAGCTCATAAATCCAGTCGGAGGTGAAATGGGCAGGGTATTAATCTTATGTGGGACTGACTCATTTGACATACAGTGCAACCTAATATTAATTCACGGAATGACGTTCATCAGGAAGAACGGTGAATTGGCATGTGCAACACAACTATCTCAGTAGTTGAGAGATTAAGCCCTGAACAACTGATGAACTCCTCTACCTAGTATTCAATGCGCAGCTTCAGTATTACTTATACGCTTGTTCCACCACATAAGATTAATACTATGGTAACAAATCCTTCAACTTAAGTGTACTTCCAAAAGACTTCTAATGAGCACTTTAATGGTTGGGATACTGGTCAGCAAGAGTTAAGTGAAACCCAGATTACCTTGCAACAAACTGCCAGTCCTCGTTTTACCGAAAAAAAGTTTGATTATATGTCACACAAAGCTTAAATTTCCTTCAAAGTGAATAGATGGGAACAGTTTTCAACTACTTATGCTAATCAGTATTATATATTGGACAGAAAGTTAAATGTCCATTATAAACCACTTACTTTGGAGTGTAAAAAGCAACTGAAAAGTGAGAGAAATCGAATTCAGCTATAAAATTTCAGTGTGACCTTTTACAAAGTTGAAACTGTTGAGACGGTGATTTACAATCTTATCATATCATCGATAAATTCAAGAATGTCTCAAATAAATATACAAAATTTATGAATCTGACATGTTGCGTACCGAATGTCAGCTGTGTGATTCGAATTCCTGCTAAAAATTATTCCACTACAGATGTTTGAAATGAGAGTTACTCATGCGGTTGCATTGACATAAATCGGTGAAATAGGATTCCACCGATAACTATGATATGATTACTTTGTTTTCATATACTTATCATTTAATAACTCAATATTAAACCTATATGATGGGGAATAACACCATCGATCTAACTAGATACTTTCATTTTACAAGTATAATTCTGGGACTCAAACGTTTGCGTCATTTCACTCTCTTGAGAAAACTCAACATATTCCATGGAAGTAGGGTATAGAAAAAAGAGTCTCCTCATAATTCAGCACAAGTTGAGAGATATTATCAGTACTGTAAGTAACATTATCTCGCAATTCGTTGATTCTCAGAGTTCAGGGAGTCAAATAAAGTCTATTTTATGAATGATTTGCAAGTTAATCATCCTATTTTAGGTATAACAGTTCATGTAAGTCAGCTAGCAGATTCAAGTGATCTGAACTAATTTGGTTCTATGAGCCGAATTTCTCCGGGAACACAGCTGATGAACTAGGCACCAAACAAGTGAAACAACAATCTGGTGTTTAGATTACTCTGATCTGGCTGGCTAGCAGAATTTACAGATCAGCCTGAGTGGTTTCTAACTACGCAAAATGTTCATTGATATGTTTCAAATAAAACCCTACAACCGTGATTATGGAGAGCCAGCAATGTTTTGTGTCATTCCTAATTGAACTATCTGTTAGTTGTCCTGATAATAATTTCAACCACACTTCATCATGTCACCAGATGTGTATAATTTAATTCTGAATTAAGAACTTGAAAGATAACTTATTCGTCATATTGCGGCAGTTAAAGCAGTTTCCAGTGGAGGAAGTCTATCTGACGATAAACTTGATGTGACAAAAGATGCAATGAAGTATCCGTTCATTCCTTGTTTATTTTTGTTTTCAGTTCTCATTTACGTGATACTAATGTATCTCGGAGATTGATGTCAAACTGTTTTTTTAACAAACAACTGATTGTTTACTTTCAGGTATCTTCTCTGATGTAACTATGTGTTATGATGAATGTACTCATATCAAAGAAATGCTTGACGGAAGTATTTCAAGCTATCGTATCAAAGATAGCACCTAGGCTTACTTCAGAATATTTGATCATCAGAATGCAAGTCACAATTAACTCATTTAGATGGTCATTAGATTGAAAGTCACAATATGATGGCAGTATTCCTAAGAACCAATTCATCTAAATGGTTTACAATGGAATTCAGTGCGTATTTCATGTAAGATATCATGTTATACATGAAAAGTAAACCTGACACTGGTTCGTGCTTTAAAGGTCAGCTCAAAGAGCCATGTGTTAACGTTTACAATTATAGACCTTATGGGAATCTGCTCAAACTTCAGTGGAGTTAAGATCTCCTTCGGCCTTTTCATTAATAACAAGTGATTGCATACGCCGATTTTAGGTTGAGTGGGACTTTCTGCCTCTTATCACATAGCAACACAACACCAGAAAAGGTTTATCGTGACATTGGTCTCCTAGTTTGATGAGCGTTTTTAAGACTTGATCGCTGAAATTCCGTCAGAACTCGGAAGAAGATGGCACGACACTTGGCATCGTCCAGGGATTGATGAATTTGGTTGCCAATTTTGGCTACATAAACTTCTAATCTATGAAAAGTTCTGACTATGAGTTCGTCTTCTGTAAAAGCCACATAAAAATAAAGTAACTTTAATCGATACTTACGACGGATGTTAACAAGCAGTGAAATCTGGGATACACGTTTTTCATGTTTGGAACTTGTCAGCCGGCATTTCAGGGAGTGACAGCGTTCCTACTGTGACTCAGGTTCATCGCACATCGATTCAAACTCTAGTGTGTTATCCACTAGGATACTAAGTCTCAATAGCTGCTCTTGGTTCGATGAGCGTAGTTTTGATTTGATAGTTGATGAGTCCAAATGTGATGAAAAATGCTTTCTCGATTCCACCATTATTATCAAAATGAAACTACTGGCAATATCGAGGCCTCTATACTTCAGCCAAGATAAAAGTAGCAGCCAGCCGATTTGATTCAGTCAGTTACGGAAGATTACATGCTGTAACATTATAACTTCTGAGTGTTTCATTTTTTTTGGTTTCTTCAGTTTGTTCCAGGCCCTGGCACATATGAAATCAATGGAGAACTTCAGCGACCAGAAAGTCTACGTAAAATGGGTACGCATTGTGGATTATTTTTCCGAGATTATAGTGATAACCTCGATGTGAACAATAAATGATAACATCATCGTACAATATTTACATTAGTCTACCAAAGAATTTTTCACATTGAATGTCGAATAAAATGAAACATGTTTTTCAGAAATGTCTTAACATTTTTCAAGCTAACAGTTTGGCTTGTTCGAGTTGAGAACTATTAAAAAACTGGGGGAGTAAGCTAACTCCGTCATTATTTGAGAATGTCAAGCAGTGGATACCTAATATCCTATGGGGGAGTGAGTGATCGGTGTCAGTGTTTAATACTGTATACCTATTTCGCTAAAATGTAAACTTCTGTTTGAGGGTTAGTTACTCGAGTAGTAATCACAGACAGCAGTATACGAAAGTATCATCTAACCTTAATATAAGAGTAAAATTTGGGCCTTTTGGTCGACTTTAATTCCATTTTAGTTTGTTGATTAGAAATATCACACAGTGAAACAGTAACATTCGCTGGATAACGTTTCGAACACAATTTATTGTCCATATGCATATCACGTAACTCCACAACTTCGAGACAGACTTCATATATTCCTAATTTTTTCTACTTTTCTGTGATGACAAGGAAAGTAGAATTTTCCATATATCTAGGACGGGTGGAGAATTATTCGTGTTACTGCATGTATTCGATTCTGATCCGCTAAACAAAGATTTGGCTATCGATCTGTCCCTCCACCCAACTACATTATTTAGTAACGCTGTTGCCCTATCCCACCCTACTGTGTGATTGTGTGTAATTGCTTGCGGAGCTATAGCCGAGCTTTTATCCAGATTTCTTATCTTATTAGGATCCACTAATCTTCATTTAGTTAAGTTTTTATGCTCTGTTATTCTAATCGACCCTGGCTGGTCGACTGTTTTGACTTATGTACTTGACCTCGCAATCATTGCAACTTCTATTAGTACAACTGTCTGGACATCTTCTAAGGTGTGTTTTTACAGGGAATCAGAACTTCTCGATGATAAAATCCTAAATGTCTATGAAATGTTTCCTCTTAAAGATATGAATTTAGAGTATGAAATGGTTGTACTTCATATGATCCCCGATAATGGGTTGGATTAATACTCAAAAGTCGAAGTCATATCTCAGGTTCATTCACATTTGTAAATATTCACAGTATTCGATATTAAAGTTTTTTAAGGAAGAAATATTTAAAATTAGTTTGGATATACGGAGTACTCTGGGGTTTTTCCATCTGAAAATGAGTACTTCTGCATTATTTTTAAAGGTGATAAAGACGTTCCTCCTGGGCAGTGGCTGTAAGTCCTAAAGCTGAGACAATGCTCCTGTAAATTAACCTGACTTTGAGAGTGATTTCATTTGTGATTAGCTTATTCAAACTAACCGCTGAGAACCTTGACTATAAAGGAGTGAAACGAGCTTTCGAAGTTGAATTTACTTTAATACAAGTTGAAATAGCTTTAAGCCTCTTTACATCGGTTGTAGCTACTTATGTCTTTCACAGGTGTATTCTATAATAAAGATGGATAGTGGGTAACAGTGGAATCCATGATGCGCATTTCGTCCTCCTATTTGGGACTCGTCAGTTGGATGTACCTGCCTCCCAGTTAGTGATATTATTCTCACTGGGATTCAGACTCGGGAGCGATCGCTTCAAACGCCAGAGCGTTATCCACCACACTACCGAGCCATAAGAGCCACTTCTTGTGTGACGGGTCTAGTTTTAGTGTCATTGCTTGTATTATACCGTCGTTGATTGGATAGAATAGATCGGTCTCCATTGGCATATGGGATCCTGTGTGGATGCCTCGATATGCCTGTTTTTTAGAGACCGATCAGTGCGGTCCAATCAACGATGGTATAATACAAGCAATAACACTAAGTATCCCATAATCTCCTGAAATTTAGGTTCTTGACGTTGCAATCTGTCATAGTTAGGTAAAAATCATGTAGGTCTTACTGTAGAGTGGTTAAAAGTGAATTTGCCTATAAGAGATGCTGGTGTTAACAGTGCAATTCTTAGATCACCTACAAATTGTTTGCCCATGCTTATTTAATGCTGTTATACTCTGCTTGTTGACCAGATGCCATAGCTTAACTTCTAATATTTCAAACACAGTTTTATGGTGTCCAAAGTTGTAAAGATTCAACATATGAACAAAATTACTATCTATCTGTACGAAAAATTCCCTCAACCAAATAGCATTTCTACACAGTGGGTTGGGGATAAGAGGTTCTGTTAGAATCCAGTGAACACAAAAAAGTTGAAGCTTGGTACTGTTAAGTATCATGACACGATATGAAGAGTACATTAATCGTACAAACGTCAAGTGAAACCCAAACACCTGCTGATTGACTCCCACTGTTTAACATCAAAATACATTGCACTGTAGTGTTACGTCACTTCTGTAAGTGGTTACATTGTAAAACTTGATCAAAGAACCGTAAAAAGCGCTAAACACTGAAGATTATAAATTTTTATCATTTACTCACTGGTGTACATAATTTAGTCCTATAGTTGGTCAATCGTGGCCTCAATATCTAAGTTATTTGGTCTCTGATTTCAGAAGTGAGTGAAACAGGATGAAATCGTTAAAAGGACACCACTTCTTTTATGGTTTCAGATATGCCCTGCTGACGAGTACCAAAAAGTCCGAAGCCTAGACTAAGCTGAGCTCCCTATGGGTTGACTGTCACCATCTAACACAAACAATTATTTCTTTATCAGTGAAGTAATCACGTTTCAGCTTCTCTAATGGCATTTGTAATTACAAGATAACCTAAACTGGATGATGGAAAGTGTTCAAAAAAGAACAAAACTTTGGTAGATAACCAAATTACTCCAAATGTTTTACAACCCTGACAAATTAGGCAGGTAAATCAATAGGTTTGTGAGAGTTATACACATTGAGAAGATTAGCCAAGTTATCACAGGTTAATTCAGTTACACCTAAAATGAAATTTACAAATTTTTTCCCATGGAGCAAGTAATCAAATCAAATGTAAAACCATAGTAATGAAACATTTGAATGCTTTCCTCAGTTTGAGGCCTTTATCCAAAGATGAGACACAAAGAGGCTCCTTGATAAGAAACTATCTGAGCTTATTAAAGCCGTTTCATATTACGTCAATATAAGATATTTCATCGTTATACTACTGCTGACGACAGTATCCTTTGCAAAGTAGTATATTCCACCTACCTAATTGTGACAAGAAATTTTGAGGGCAGTTGTGTATGGTGCTAGTTTCTCAGTGTATATCATGTCTTAATCTTTAACCGACATAAAAGTCTACGGTTTGATAACTTTCTCATGTTATCCATTGAAATTCACCGTGGTTATCAGACGCTGTTATGAATAAAAGTCAACTTTTATTGGCATCACATGTTAGACATCTACTCTTCGTTTATTTTGAAGAGTATAACAGAAGAAAATTTTATCAAGTAGTTGCTTGATAGACCTATGAAAAGACCCTAGAAGATTTGGATTTCGTCAATGATTTGTGTTTAATGTCGCACAAACTCGAAGATCTACAGGCAAAAACTAACAAGTTGACAGAAGAGACAGACCAGCGAAAGCGGGACTTCAGGTGAATGTAGAGAAGACAGAAGTAACAGATGAAGATACCCAAACAACGACAACAACAACAAACACCATCAGCGGGATAAATCTGATGGAAGTTGTTGCTCTCACCCTACATAGGCAGCACCGTTCCAACTATAGGTGGCGGCACAGGCACAGATGAGGATGTCAAAACAGCCAGGATCGGAAAAGCAAGATAGGCGTTTATCAACCTGAAACTGGTGTGGAGATCTTCTGCACTCAGCATAAAGAACAAGATCCGGATTTTAAACACTAATCTCAGTGCTTCTATGTGATGTTGAGAGACCTTGCGCGTTATCAAAAGCATTTCCAACAAACTACAGACATACGTGAACAGCTGCCGCCTACACTCACTCGATACTGAATTTGGAAATCAGATATCCAGAATTATAATAATCAACAACAAGGAACTCTGGCTGGCAACCAACCAACCGATAACCTATCACTCAGCGAATATGCAGAAGGAAGTGGAGATTGATTGGAATGGGTATACACTGAGAAGTCTGACTGGGGAGATCACACGCTAGACTAGACCAGGCCATCGAGTGGAATCCAAAGGGGAAACGACTAGTTGGGCGTCCGAGGTGAGGGTGACATGGAAGAGATCGTGTGAGGAGGAAATGAAAGGCTGCGAGCAGTGGTGGAGCCAGGTTGAAAAGACTGTAGAGGAGAGAGTGCAATGGAGATGTGCTACTGAATCCATATGTTCCACTAGGAAACCAAGTGAAAAATAAAAATAATGATAATAGTTGCTTGATAACTAGTGTTAAGCCTTGCTGTCATACTGACGTCTGCAAATCGGTAACCGGTGAGTAAATAATGAAGCTATTTATTCACTAGTGCTCTGAACTGACAGAAACTGATCACGTTTACCACGGAGTTACTAAGCTAAGTCATATGATGCTGAAGTTCACTGTAATTTGGTCTTGGATATTAGGAATCACTCAACTGTATGCTGTCTACCTAGATTACCGTATCCATAGTACAGATGGTCAAGAAGTACCTGCAGTCACTGAAAAACCTATTGAAAAAGTCTCACAATTTTTGCATTACATGATACATTTGTTAACACTTGACACACTGAAATGGGTTTGATTTTGAGAGAGTGGAACCAGATGCCTAGATTACTACAAATCATCTGCTTTTCCTACTCAATGATGGAGTAGGAAGGCGACTGTCCATTTTAAAAAGTTTCGATTAATTTATATCTATTCAAGTCAACCTTTTGTCCGCCTCAATTGTCATCAGTTCGTGTAGGAAAGCGTATCTTTGTGCAGAAAACTGCCATTTTCATGTTATCGGTTAAAATATGACTTTCGTTTTGACATGAAGTAAATTTCATCCGATTGTCTTCAACCTTTCTCATTCATGTTGACTGATATAGCCATTTTAGTGTATTGTAGTCTAAAAAATGTTCACAAAAGAATGTAGGTCAGTTGATTTATTTGAATAAAGACAAACTAAGCCTTTTGAACTTGTGTTATCCCTTTAATTTAATTATCGGACATAGTCAGAACTGTCAAACACAGTGAAACGTGTGT